TAGAAAAAGCAGCACCTGCAGCTTTTGTCGTGCAGCGCACGTAGAGCGGTATGTTCTGACTTGCTCATGGGTGGCAGCAGTTAGCCGCTCATTTGCTCAGGCACGTGCATGGAAAGATCGTGGATGAACGGCGCCGACGAAAAGAGGCCCAGCAAATGGCAACACTGCCCTGAATGGCTTTGGGAAGTCTTTTTGCTTGGCAAGGCAGAGGCAGAGCTGTTGGCAGATGGTGCAGGCACCAAGAGCCAAACACCTTCGCAGTTCGCAGTCAGCTTCTCATGAGAGAGCTGGTTCTGAGGCCTTGGGACGGCGGCAGATCTGCCCTCGATGGCCCGAAGCGGCTGGACGACATCCTGCAAGGGTGTTGATTGAATCAGCAGCGGTTTGTCAGGCTAGTAGCAGATCTTGATGACGTTGGCAGCAGCTGCTGCAGTTAATGATCCGTTGCGTGGGCTTGGCCCTAAGATCCAAGAAACTTTGAATTCGGTCTTTATAGGGCAGCTGCTTATTCTCTAGCCCGAGGTTTGAACCACCGCAAAAACCAGGTCTCCCTGGCCTGGCTGATTGGTAATGAGAAGCGCCTGCACCACGAAAAACGTGGTTCATTTGATGGGTGAGGGAAACATTCGTCTTGGAAAGGCCTGTTTTCCCAAGCCCACAATGTGCGAATTTTCTGCATGGATAGCTCACAGCGCACGCTGCGAGAGTACACCCCAGAATGCCAAGTATATCTGCGGGATTCCGTTTCAGGCTTTGCCAGAAAAGCAAAAGCTGCACGCACCAATCCCGAAAGCTTCCAAGAGATTGGGACATCTAGCCGGTCAGGAGCTTAGACCATACCTTTGGTAGCTAGGAGGTTTGACGAACCAGATTCTTTGCCACCACCAATGCATGTCTGGCAATCACCCTGGCCTGCAGTTGACACGTCGGCTGAACAGACAATTACACTTTACGAGCTGTTGGCTTTGCAGCCACCCTGCAGTACATCTGATGAGACGTCTAACACCACGCAGTGAACACAGAAGCCAGGCCTCCAAGCCTTTCATCACCTTGGCTGCTTCACAAGCCTCGGCAATGCCAGTCTTGCAAGGCTTTCTTGAGAATGGTCCTTTTTTTGAGTCCTTCAAATGGGGATCCCCATATTCCTAGCGAAGTCGAGCCGAGCTTGAACAGCACAAACACCTGTAGATCACATGTACGGAAAGATCTGGGAGTTGAGACCTGTGGTCATGGTGCGGTGTCACGCCTGGCTGCGCAGGCGCCAAGAAGAGCTATGAGTGATCTGCATGCTTTTTAGGCTGGTACTGTCGGGAAGCAACTAGAGTGAGGCTTTTGGACAGACCTGGCATTTTAGGCGTGCAGGAGTACAGGACACACCTGAACTCAAAAGCATCTTCTTTGCACTCGCCAACCTGTGGGTGTAGCAATTTCAGGCCCCTGGCCGCAGTGAGCATTGCGGCTGGGCACCTGGCTTGCTATCACGCTACATGTGGTGGTCAACTTCACTGCTAACACCAGGCGCTACTCCTTCGTCCAAGCCTGCGGTCAGTCCTCACCTCAAAGCTTCCACAAGCTTCAGTGCTGCCTCACTCTGCAACTGCAGCCTTTATATTCAGGTTCAGAGCTTCTGCTCCTGGCACGAGGCCTCCGTGTCAGGCGAAGCCTGGAATTTGGTATTGCAAGGTTTGTTGAGTGCTCGCTCACGTTTGGCAGAAGTCTCTTCATTTGAATTGGGGACGTTGCTACTGCGGTGAGGTTAGTATCAGTGCATGGGGCAAGACAGATTCATCCAAACTTCTCTGTTTTGAAGGCCAATCGAGACTGGCCTTGCGAGCACAGGCTCGCTCGGACATGTGTCATCGTTCTCAACAGTGGGATGCCGTAGAGACGTTAAGCTCGACAGTTTGCCCTGATGCACCAGCAGCAGCTTGCGTCAACGCGAGCTCTGATACTTTGCTTTTCTTTTCCACGTGAAAAGATTATTAGAAGCATTAGCATTTCTATTGTTGTTCAATGTATTTTAACGGGTAAATAGTTTAACTCTGTATATTGGTAGTATGTATGTTGGGGGGGGGTCCTTCAGCGGAACCAGTCCATGCAGTTGCAGGGGCCAGATGTAAAGCCAGAGCCCGATTTTGGCAGAGACTTTGCCAAAGCGCTGCAGGACAGACCCAGCCTAGGCTTTAGGATGGTTTAGAATTTAGGGTTTAGGGTTTGGGGTTTAGGTTTTGGCGTTTAAGGTTAGAAGCTTCTTGCGGTTTTCAAGCCCAGCATGTCTTACTGGTGGTTAGTAGGGAAGAAGGGAATATGATCCCCATACAACCCCTACGTATTATGTGCGAGTTGCCCAACCCATAGCTGCCTGTGACGTGTGCAGGAAGGGCTGGGTTTGAATGAGCCCTACAACGAGGACATGCCCAGCTGTTGATTGGTCAGAAAAACTAGCCGTATCTTCGGTCTCGATCATAGGATTCCGCTGGTCTGTAGCAGTGGGTCCCTGCGTTGAAAGGGATTAAGGGCAGGTTCGGGAAAGAAGAAAAGACACGAGCTGCTTAGGGAAGCACGCGCCTCAAAGCTCCTATAGCAGAGTCTAAGCAGTTCTTCTCTACATGGCGGTAGGAATCCCACCTGCTGATGGCCCTCTGTGGCATTTTCCTGGTAGGATGTGACTGCGGCGCAGAGAGTCACTCCAATTGATCGCCTGTCTTCAACTCAGGGATTCCCCACCAAGAAGCTCTCGAGGGTTAGTGAGAATGGACTGGAAGATTGAAATGCCTAAAATTACATGTGTCTGTTGTGTTTTATGCTTATCTTTTGAGATATACTGACGGATAACACCCAATGATGGAAAACTACATGGAAAGGCACATAGAAACTAAATGGACACTAGTTTTCACCCCTAGCCTAATCCTTTGACAGTGCTGGCTGAAGATCCTTGGAACCCAGACTCGCCTTTGTGATTTGCTCAGGTTTGGTTGGGACAAAGCAGGTGCCCTAGACCCCGACTGTAGCTGGATAAGTCTTGCACCAGCAAGCTTGCATGCAATTAGGAAATTATTTGAACACGCCATGCTGGTGTGTAGTGCAGCCACTGTCTAAAAGATGCCTGCTGCCAGTTGTTAAGGGTCGCAATTGTTTGCTCACAGTCCGTAGACAAGTCGACTGGACATGACATGTCGTACTCAATCCGGAGAAGCCAACTTCAACAACAGGTGAAGGTCATTGCCTAGATGCTCAAGTATATCATTGTCACGATTTCTTACATTTTATTTGGTTCTACGCGCACAGGCATAGGGCTGAGCCTCAATTCCACTACAGCCCAGACCCAGTTGGGGTGGCTCCCATGGGCCCAGGGCATCATCGCCTCCAGAGATGACTTGGACCCCTTCATGGACTCGCAAGATGAAATGTCAGCGCCCAAAGGGGCTGTTGCATGTAAGTGTAGCCATTTGATTGTGATAGCACGAATGTTCATAATATACCCATAAGAAAGGAATAATACCCGGCGTACCCGGCGCATGCCCCAGTATACCGGGGCGTGGTTCCGCAGTAGCGCTTTCCCGTCACATTGAATAATACTACAAATACTAAGAACAATAACTATAATACCCGAATCCTTACACCCTACACCATGCATGTAATAAGAATTGCAAGAATAATAGTTTTGAGCTCAGGAATTATGTTTCTGTCAGCCTGGACCGGCCGTTGGGCCTAGAATTCCTGGAGAATGGCGTGCCTTGGCATAAAGCCTCCAAGGTTATATAGGTTTTAGAGATGGGGTTTCTAGGTTTTCAGAGGGATTTTGCAGGTCTATCTAGGTTCATGGAGTCCTTTTTTAAGTCTTCCCTGGCGACATGTTCGTTGTAGTTGGAGAGGTGTAGGCATCCTTTCATCCGAGGGCATCTTGCTAGATTCCGGCCATCACTCAGGACGAAGACGGCGGGGGCGTTATGATCGGAAAGGCCGGAGCGGCCTTCTGCACGTCTGTACAGCTCATTGCAGCTTTGCGGGGCAAAGGCTGGGGAAGTGGGGATGTTATTGAAATCGCAAACCTAGTTTTTTTCACACAAGATCAACACAGCTCTCGCAACAAAGCATTGACAGAAGAAAGATGAAGCTGAAGTAGGCCAGAGACCGCAACGCAGGTTCAACCTGGCTCCAACGCTGACCAAACTGGTTTGCTTAGGGTGGCAAACCCAGATGTCTCATGGTTTTCATGGCATAAGATATCATGTGACCGCAGTGCGTGGTAAGTTATGACCGTGCGTCTCAACTGCTGCAATTCTCGGCGTCAACATCTCGATCTGAAGCAACTTGGTACTGAGGCTGGGTATCACCTGGTTTTTGTGAATGGCAGGTGTTGGGCCAAGATGTAGAAGTTTTTCCAACAGTTTTCGCATGCAGAAAGAAGCCTGCAGTGAAAGCAGTTTCAGAGCGTCCTCAGAGCAAGGCCCGTCCACGGGTTGTCCTTTGACGCCGCCCTCCAGCCCATCATGGCATCTGAAGGTTCTTCATGAAGTCAAGCAGAGATGGGCAGCTGCTACAAACCACTCTCCAACGTAGCACGTGAATCCTGCACCAAGTCTATTCCTCCGGTTGTTTGTTTGCTCCTCTGGCTGCAGGATCCGTGCAGCTCACGTTTTTCATGGGCGAAGCAGATTACTTCTACGGCGATTGGAAGTTCACCCCTTAGCTTAGCAGTCCCAAGCCCCAAGTGACTTCAAGTGCACATGGGTAATTCTCACTTTCCATGAGACTTAGTACGGCGCTTTTTTGTACATGTACCAATCTGCGATCCACATTTTGGGAACTACCCACATGCGTTAAAATACTGCGCTCGCATTGCGCGAGGCCAGACGCGGAATGGCTTGATGAATTCCAGGCAAAGCTGCAGCGGGTGCCCCAGTTTCATGAGACATGATGCTCCATGTCAACATGACCTCTTGCAGCGGACTTTGACACTGCAAGAGGAGCCATCAAAAAGTTCGGTCATGATAATCACGCTTAGAAGCTGACCTATGGATCAGGTCTCCACCTGACGATGAGGAGCAGTAGCAGTCTTGTTTCACGCGCACAGGAGCTCACTCCGAATTTTCCGCTTGGTTTCTGGCGTTCCAAGTTGGGATGCTTCCTGGTCTCAGGCTGACACAAAATATCCACCAAGCAAAGCCGTGGAATCTGTAGGCCCAGCCCTCCAAGATTGGTTTGATTCATCCCTTTCTCATGTGAGCTATAGCCTAGATTTTTTTAAGGGGTTATATGAAAGGGGATTGTATAGGAGAGTACTATATGGGCTAGCACGGGGGATACTAGGACTTTAGAGGGTAGCTCATGTGGAAGCTGTGGATGTTGCGGTGACTCCCGCAGATGGTTTTCAGCCCTAGGCCCTAGGGCTCCAGGGTGCGAGCTGGTAGCTTTTACGGCCGGCTCTGCTATTACTGAAGGAACTTGCCGCCATGGAGCCAAGGGAAAGCTTCTGGGAGCTGCACCGAAAGCTGGCGGATTGCTATGCTCATGATATGGCTGAGCACCGTCCTAGTATCCAGTCAGATCGACGCAACAGTCTTCAGCGAAGGCTTAGTCTGCAAAGCGTGCAGGTGCAGAAGGAGACATCGATGGCATCGGATAATCCGAAGTCTCCAATGTCAAAAACTCCAATGCGAATGGTGTCATTTGATCGGAACTCCACCATCAAAGTCATCGACTTTGACCAGGTCGCAGAGCGCTTCCATGTATCTGAAGCTTTGCACATGTTTCCATACTGTGACCTTCATCTAGGCTACTCAACGTGCGCCTTGCAGTGATTGTGTGCAGGTGACGCCTACTGAAGAGGTCACCTTCACAGATACGGCCAAAGCCAGGGCGTCCCTGCGGCAGAGAAGGAGGAGTACGATGGAGGGGTTGATGAGTGTGCAAGGCCTGAAAAGCCACAGCAGCCTCGGCGACGGGGACTCTGTGGAGGAACGCTGGGATATTACCAAGGCGCGGGTGTCTAGGAAGGTCAACCCTTTTGTTTTTGTGCCTGGTTGAAGTTGTTGCAGATTGCAGCGAAGGTGAAGCTTCACGCGCACAAGCATTGGCTTCAGGGCGAAAACCCGGAGAGCGAGATATCCCAGCGTCTACAATCCCTGTCCAAGGGCATTAACCAGTCCGCGAACGAGGCTCAGGCAGGAAGCGAACAGGATATTGTTTATGAAATGGAAGAACAGCCCACCATGCTTCATCCTGGCGGGGTTCTGCGAACGACCTGGAATGTGCTTGTTGCTATTTGCTTGATCCATGACCTGGTGGTGATTCCACTCTATGTCTTCGACATCCCCGACTCCTCCCTGTTAGTTTCGTTGGAGTGGTTCACTCAGCTCTTCTGGAACATCGACATCGCAATGACCGTGCGAACTGGCTATTACTACAAGGGCCTGCTGATCATGGATCCAGTGAAGGTCTTGCGCAATTACGTCAAGACCTGGCTAGTGCCTTGCTGTGAGTCAACAGAAGAAGTTTAGCTTCTTGTCCTTCTTCATTTGGTCTACAGAAACATGGTTGGGGCGACTTCTCTCCTCTTAGTACGAAATATTGAAGCCAATTATGACCCCTGTATCACCACTGTTTCCATGTCAGTTTCCATTGATTCCCCCTTTTAGGCCGAACATCCGTATATATGTCCCTATCTAACCCTACATGTCGTACTTTCCATTTCCTTATCATTCGCGATTCTCCTATGGAGAAGTGAGGCGCTGGATATAACGCTGGTCTCTTTGGACTGGGCCTTTGTACTGCTGGAGGCTTCTGGAGTTCAGGTCGGCTTTCCCAAAATTAAGGAGGCTCTTTTGGGGAGACTCTCCAAAATCAGGATTCTAGATTGGGGCCTATGTGAGGGGGGAGGGTTTTTCAACATAAGCCAGGTGAACTCTGTGGCGCAGCTTTCGCGCACCATCCGCTTCCTCCGCTTCCTTCGGCTCGTGCGGATCCTGCGCTGGGTGAACTACTGGTGCTTAAGGGGGAGTGGGGGAGGGAATATAGGTGCTACTGTAGGGGGATATTATAGGGCTAGTTATAAGGATCCTACACCCTAAGCCCTGTTATAGGATCCGCTCCACTACTCTCTCTTAAGCATCACTAAGGTGAAGCTGCGCAGAATGGCAGAGGTCTTCCAAGAGATGATCCAGTCGCAAGCTGCCAGCCCTTTGGTTCAATAAAAGAAGTTAATTTTAATTACAGTAATTCTGGTAGCAATGATAATGATAGTAATACTAGTACTAAGAGTAACAATAGTAATAGAGTAGTAGTAATAAGAACTGTGGCATAATAGCAGTAATAGTATTAAAATCCGTAGCATAGCAGCAGGGTTTCCAAAGCAGCCGGGGAGTCTCAGACACTTTTGCTCTTTGTGTTGGGCTGCAGTAATATATGGGATTATTTAGGGACTATTATAGGGATCCTAAACCCTATTATAGGGCCATTATAGGGATCCACTCCCTAAACCGTGTTTTAGGGGGGCTGTTGCCTGCAGTAAGCAAAGCCAGGTCTGTACTGGAGCCTGCTGTTTGGCATCGCCCGGCTGATCATTCTGAACCACTTGATTGCTTGCTGCTGGTACGGGATAAGTCGGCTGGAGAATGCCAACGACAACTGGGTGATCCATGCGCGCCTTTCTGACCAAGAGCCATCCCATCTGTACGCTGCTTCCATGATCCTTGCCAAGATCTAGAACTGCGTTACTTCTCTTCCTGAGGTAGTCTCTTCAACATCTGCTTTGCGTGCAAAAAGCATGCCACACCAGGAACTGGGCCTTTGCCCAGTTGGGCGTTGGTGTCTCAGACATCAGCCCTCGCACAACGCTGGAGACGTACTTTTGCATCCTAATCGTTCCCAGCCCTCCAAACCTCAGATCTGTGCAGTTTGTGTTTGCTTTACAAGTTTTGGAAGATGCGTAGACTTCAACTAAAGAAGTCCTGGAAGAACTTGGGCACAGGCTTTCCGGTCCTTGATTACATGCACCACGCTGATCAGCCGCATGACATCGCTGATGACTGCACTGATCAAGACGAAGGCCCGGAAAGCTGTATGCCAACGCTTGTTGACTTTTTGCAGCGTTTAGCTTATGCCGAGTGCCGAGCAAGCTGCTCTTGCACAGCTGTGCAACAGGAGGACGAGGAGCGAGAGTTTCGGCTGCTTCGCAGCTACCTTGTCTTCAACGAGATCCCCCACCGGCTTGGACAAAAAGTCACTCGGTTCCTGCAGCACCAGTTCAGTTTGAAGCAACAGGCCAAGTCGGCCGACCTGCACGTGCCACTTCTGGATCTCCTCTCCCACCAGCTGCAGGCACGGCAAGTTTAGTCCGCAGTAGCAAAGGTGCGGTGCGCTCCGCTAGAGTGCCTCTCAGAAAAGCCAACAATTTGCAGGGAGAACTCCAATTCGCGCGGCATCGGGCTTCACTGGCCAAGCTGGAATTCCTGGACCCACGGGATCCCCAAAACAAAGCCTTGTATGAGTATCTTTGAGTTGTTCTGATGCCTCAGTGCCTCAGTGTTCGGGGTAAAGCCGCATGCTTGCGAGGACCACCTGATGGATCATCTCGACCGGCAAACTGTGCAGGTGCTGTATGAGCTCTGCACTACTGCCTTGGTGAGCATGCCGGTGGCCTCAAAAGACTTGGTCTTCTTGGGTGGCACTGCGGCGCGAAAGACCTACCTGATCCTCTCAGGAGCTTTTCTGTAGTAAGCTTGATTTTCTGTAGGGAGCCCAGTCTTCAGCAAGTGTTGTTTATATCCAAGAAAATCAGGCAAGTTTACATACCACCACGACGAGGGCGCAGAAAAGGTTGATGATTCTGACTGCCATGGCTGGATCGCCGAGATGTGCTTGTGGCCGCTGGGCCCGTACCAGGCTAATAGCTTGCTTGTGTGAGACTAGTAGAGCACTGAGAACAAAGCGCTTCAGACCCCCCCCTGAAAGAAGAGGGCCCCTGTAGAAGACGGGTGCTGGCAGATGGAAAGATCAATCCAGTCCACCTGTATGGAATCCAACAACTTATCTTGTCAACTTAATGGGAACCCCTGCCCATGATCTGGGCCAACTTGTGGCTTTGCAACAGAAGCCCTTGCTTGCACAGGATTTCTGGTCTCAGACACTTTTCCCGTACACGTGCAATCCCGTGTCTATGCGGGATAGTCACACATCCTCAGCACTCTTTTGGGCAATGCTGACAGTCCCAAGGCTTTACTCGGGTTTGCACTGGAACTCTCGCATGTTAAGCACTGAAGAGACTATGCGAACCTGGCTCTAGAGTCTCCGTTCATGTCTTCCAAGGACCCCGTGGGTGTACTTGGGAGACCTCGTATCTCACGATGTGGCGCGCGTTGTTGCTATGGACGCATCACTGTTTGGCCAGATCTTGAGCCAGTCGACAGCCACCCATGACCAAGCCAAAGACTATGCCAAGAACTTTTTGAGTATGATGCGCGGCAAGACGTGGGGATTCTTGAAACCAGCTCAGGATGCTCTTTTCTTGCATATAGCAGAGTAGGCAGCGCCTTTTTATCCCCCTGCCAGGTCCTGGACGGACCTCCGCAATGAAGCAAGAGAGGAAGACACGAACATGGACATGAGCCGCATTGCATCTGTCAAAAAACCCAAAGCTTCATTTTGCTGCGGGAAGAAGCCCAAGAATCGAGTCGCACACGAAGATCGTCCCGAAGAGTTGAAATGATCTTAAACGGAGAATCGAAGCATCCGAAGTTTCAGGGCAAGGCCTGCGTTCCAATCTCACTGCACAGACCGTATGTAGATCCTTGCAGTGGGTGATGCCAGGATCATTACGGATTGTGATGCCTGGCTATTTGCAAAGCAGCCCAGAGCGTCGCTGAGTTTTTCATGTGCTTCGGGTTGCAAATCCCCTAGATGAAGCCCTGCGATACTCTGCAATCCTCCGCTCAACGATTGGGTAAGACTTTGTGCAAAGGCATGCTAACGTGAGTTTCACTTTCCAGGCATTGCAGACTATAGGCGCAGTAGCCTCGATACATCACGGCCTTCCCAACAGTACTTGCGCAGAGCTTCTACGCGAGCGCTCAGAGTTCCCACTTCCAGAGAGAAGTAAGCTTCTCTCCATACATCAGCTGGCAGCGTCCCCAAATGGGGTACGGCACAGACAACATCTCGTCTGTTACTGCAAGAGCTTCCAATCACCAGTGTTGCATGCTGTTACGCTGTGCCGAGTCGGTCTTGCCAGACAGTTCATCCAGACTGCCCGAGTAAATGCCCGTCTTGCCTTTCAAGTCAATGGCGAAGGTTGTAACTTTCTTCGAGCTTTTGGTAGCACATGTGGGCAACGCAAGAATCATGGCCGTGGCATACAAACCGTACTGCAGCCTGACACTTGGAACGATACTTTGGAGAGGCTGTGCCCCAAAGTCGGAGATAGGGTTGTCGGTCGATGAGATCGGTTTGTGGGGTGAGCTGGGCCAGTGCAGCAGGGGTTGGTGGTCTAAGCCGCTCTTTACACACGAAGCCGCAGCCGCTTCTCCCTCATGACCTTGTAGAATTTAACACTGTGTGGCCTGCGTCACAGTATAGAGTGTACAGTCTCCCGCGCAGGGCATCTGGTCTTGGCACCAGATGGATGACGAAGATGCCGATGGCGGCAAACCTTCAAGTACTTTTTGGGAGCTACACCAAAGGCTTGCTGATTGTTATGTCCAAGACATGGCCCTCAGCCCGCTCAGCAGGCCTACAAAAGCCCGCGAACCCGCTCAAGGTGGGCTTGACACCCTTTCGGCTCTTCGGCGCATTCGCTCGGGGAGGCGTACTTCCACAGATGTCATCACTGAAAGGCGCGAGGTCAGCATCTCGACTCTGCTGGATGGAAAGAACCGAGCTTGCACCGAGACCCATATTACTTTGGCCCCACATCCATGTTGGAAACAGAAGAAGAGGGAGCACTCCGCTTCGATGAATCGAGCCGTCTCTGTGGATGCTCTGATGGCATCTGGATTCACGCCTGGTTCCAAGATCCAATCCCCTGCAAAGCCTCTTACTTTGGAGCTCCCCGAGGGAAAAGGTGGAGGACAAGCGAGATCCTGTGTGCTGCACCCTGGAGGGATGCGGCGTACATTGTGGAACATGGCAGTTGCTTTAGGCGTCCTGCATGATCTGATTTTTGTCCCGATGTATGTCTTCGATCTGCCCAACACGCTTTTCTTCCGAATGATGGAATGGATAACGCAAATATTTTGGAACTTTGACTTCCTCGTTTCGATTGTTACAGGTTACTATGATGCAGGCGTATTGGTCCTGGACTTGAAACGAGCCGCCTTGCACTATGCAAGGACTTGGATGCTCTTCGATGTACTCCTCATAGCCATGGACTGGTCAATTGTCTGGCTTGACAGTCTGGGATCTGAGCAGGGAGACCTTTTACAGTGGTCGCGAACGATTAGCATGCTGTGATTCTTACGATTGATTCGCATGCTGCGTTGGGTGAAGCTCAGGCGAGTGAATGATGCACGACTGCAAGCATACATTTTCAGATTCTGGTGTTCTGCCACCAGTGTGGAGTTTGCAAAGCTTCTAATGGCAAAGACAGCGCTAGCAGCAGTCTGGCCTGCACAATACTCTTCAGATTGTGTAGTTTCCCCTGCTGGGACCCATCCATGCAGTAAGGCCTTTCTCGGAGACCTTGACTGTAGCCGTGGTAAGTACTTAACCCAGTTATACACAATTCGCGAGCAGCTTGAGGCAGCATTCTTGCAATTTCTTAGAATAGTGGTTGCAAGCTGAGAGGAAGGAGACGAAACCACGAGCTATGCTGGTAGACTGGCTGGATTTCTCAGCCACATTCTCTGACAGAGGGTTTAACGACTTCACGCCACAAGACTTTCTATCTCTCTCTCTCTCTCTCTCTGAACCGCATGGCTCCCAGGGCTTTGGTCCTCACCATGTCAGGAGCTGATTTCAGGTGCAGGATCTTTGTCAAGGGCCTTTTCCCTCTAGGTTTCGACTATGTACCATCCCAGAATCTGGTAACCCACGCAGACCCAGAACACGTTTCGGTTTCTGTGCTGCTCATGCGTCCCTCCAAGGAAGTCTTCCAGGAGCTGCTGCATACCCAGGCAGCCAGCCTGTACTACAGCCTCTTCGGAAGCATCTCTCGCTTGCTGATTCTGAATCACCTGGTGGCCTGCTGCTGGTATGCGGTAGGTGATTTGGGTGGCCCAACTGGCTGGGTTCGCAGATCTGGACTGGAGTCTGAGACCGTGATCCATAAATACTTGGTCTGCCTAAATTGGGCTTTTGCCCAACTAAGTGTAGGCTCAAGCGAGCTTATTCCGGAGAGCACCTTTGAGTTCTCTTTTTGCGTTTTGGTGGCATTCCGATCCCTCATCACGTACTCCACCCTCATCAGCACGATGACTTCCTTGCTGAGCGGTCTCAGCAAGATCAAGGAGGATGAGAACACCGAGTTCCGGATGTTGAGAAGCTACCTGGTGCATCATGACATCTGCAAGGAGCTGCAGCAGAAGATAACGCGATTCCTACAGCACCAGTATGGCCTCAGACAGCAAGCAAAGTCTGCCGATGCTCCTCAGAAGCACTATGAGATACTATGAGCCTGTGTCATACCTTAAACCCTAAACTGCACGACAACCTGCAGTTCCAAGGCTCAAGTACCGCTGCTGGAACTCCTCTCAGTCCGACTTCAGGGAGAGCTCAGCTTTGCGAAGTACAGGAAAGCTCTTGGAAGACTGGCCTTTGTGGATGAACTCTTAATGTTGAATGACCTTATGGTTATGCAGGTCCGGCCAGCTGTCAAAATTTCACATTTTTGGATCTGAAAAGACATCACGCAAGATTAAGATGCAGGGTACTTAATTGTGCAGGTGCTACATCGACTGGCCATGAAGGCTGTCAGGGATACTGTTGTGGCTGGAAAAGACGTGATCTTCCTGGCTGGGGACACGGCGACGGCATCCTACTTCAAAGTCGGTGGTGAGATCACATACTTTCACAGCAGCGAGAAGGACTCCGTCAGCAATGCGACATGGGTAGCCGAGCACTGTTTGTGGACTCCTTGGGTGCACGCCTTGGCTCTGCCGTTAGCAGTGAACCATTTGAGCCTGCCTAAACTGCAGGGTAAGGCTTCGCAGGTGGAAGGCCTTTTCATGTTGGCTGTGCGCTCACGTGCAAGTTTGGGGTGTCAATTCACTCCCTCAGGTGCACTTGGGTGACCTGGTCTGCGAAGATGTCAGCAGATTGGTGGTGATTCATGTACAGGAATTTTGCGATGTTCTCAGCCAAGCTCCTCGGACCCATGGTGCCGCAGTGATCCACGCTAGAGATTTCATAGCTGCAATGGGGCACCAACCATTGTGGACGGACATTCTCCCCCAAAAGGACTGGGTCCTTCCTCGTCGTGTACTCGTGCTTTTGAAGTCACAGCATCAGCCAGATAGTTGCACAGGAAACGCACCACTTTCAGACCAGTGAGCGCGAGGTGAAGCTCCACGTCCGCTGCTGCCGCAGCCTTAATTATTCAGCTGCCTCCTAGTGTTGGACACTTGGATGTTTGCGAACTGGCATCAGAATTCATCGTTGTTTGCTCATCCTGGCACGAGAGCGTAAGGTGGCCTGCTGAAAGCTGAGCGCGTTACCCCTGAGCCGAAGATGTCGAGCTTTGACTTCCACGGTATTGGGGCTGCTGAAGCTGCTAGGGCTGTTCGCTCTGAAGAGGAGCAGGCCTGTGTTTGGACCACCACCTCCTGTCAGCATTGATCAATCTTGGGCTCAGTTTTCCAATTAGCAAGTCCGGGCAGTTGGAAACTTGCATAAGGGGAGCCAACCTGCTAGGCTCAAAGTAAGTGCAAACAGTCATGCCAAGCTATGCCAAGTTGTCTTGGTGGCAGTCTGAACGGGATTGCTTTGTTCCGACGTGATGATGCCAACTGAATCTACTGTCTGCTCTTCTACGGTATGATGGGGTAGTAGACCTCAGGAAGGATGTGGAACACCCCGTTTCTGCCTAGCAGTAAGATTCTCCAGCTGATTTAATCGAGCCTTGGGTAACTTCGTAGAACTTGCTGCAAGACCACGGGCCAGAGCTCCTTTGATATCCTTGCTTTGCAAAGCTGCTGTTGCAGGCCTCGGACAAGGATGAATGAGACATTTTCCTTGTACAAGTTTAGTGAGAAATTTGTTTGCTCAACCCAGCATGACGAGCAGAAAGATGTCAGCCGGATAGGTTGCAGATTTTCTGCGGGAAAGAATCGCAGAGCTTGAAATGTGCAGTGCTCATTGGATGTTACCAACCCAAGTTTTTGCTTAGAGTTTTCGCGGCCCTCTGCAAGTGGGGTGCAGGCACGCTTGGAAAGACTTTTAAAGTCTAATGCGGCGATAAGATAGGCATGCAGGTTTTGCACAAGCTGCGCCCTCTTGCCGCTGTCGATTCTCGCGGCCAGCGTCTGCCGCTCCATGATTACAGCTTTTTTTTGCAGCGTAGCGGCTGCGGCCAAGTCGCAGAGGCTCAAGCGCGCTTTTCATATCCCTCTAGCATCGGGGTAAGCCCAGCAGCAGGCTTAGTGTGCTCTGTCAAGGACGACGCTTTTTTCTTGAACCGAGGAAAAAGCCGTGCCTGAGCTGCTGCAGCGCGTGGTCTGCAAGCTGTGAAGTCCAAGTTTTGCTTGTTATATGCGCGGCTCAAAACATGCTGAGCTTGAAGAGATAGTCAGACACACAAACAGCACTACCTCTCAGCCGACTCTGAAGCCACATTGCCACTCGAACGTGCAGCTTCAGGAGCAGAGAGCAAAGTACTTAATTAACACTTCACTTTCGCCTTGTGCAGCAGTAGCCAACTCAAGCCAATCCAGGAGCAAAGCGAGCAAGTAGGCAAAACAGTCGAGTCAGCTGTGCTGAGTCAAAGCCGAGCTTTGGGTCCACATGGCGCAAGGCCCTCAGGTAATTTCAGGTAAACTGGGCAGCGGGGTCTTGCTTCTGCAGATGCATATGTGGGCAGCAGATCCTGCAAACTTTGGTGGCTGGTGAACCCTGATGGCACACTGCAAGGTTCCATGGCACGCCTGTGGAAGTTCGAAAGAACCAGAAATCGACCACCTGGCAGGGGGCCTTAGGACCACTTCCAGCAATGATTCAGACAGTCACAGACAGCCATGCAGCTGGTCTGCTCGCTCTGCCTTTCATTTTACCTACAACAGCCTTAGCTTTCTCTGACAGAAGGTTGCAATCCGCCAACAGTGCCTGCAGGTACAGCGGCGAACTCATTGACATTAATGGAGAGGATCGCATCAAGGTGCGTTTTGAGGCGCGCTGTTGTGATGGCACTGGCGAGTTTGTCCGAATCGAGCAAGCAACACGACACCATTTTACGGGCACCGCTTGCATCATATATGTGTTATGAGCTGAGATGTTCTTCCCGTCTTGGCAACCAAAATAATCGAATTTGTGCAGTGTCAGAAATTGACACAGCATTCCAGGGTCCAGAGTGAGAGGATCGTTGACAGTGTGCTTCTGCGTTGGCAGATTTTAAGTATCGGTTAAGCAAATCCTGATTAAGGCCATCTAGAATTGAATGCAGTTGCTGGTTCCGCTTTTCTTAAATGGGCTGTTTTGAATTAGATGATTCTGGTCCGTTGATCCTTTCTAGCATTGCCTTTCTATGCGGGCAGAGCAATTCCCCAACACTTGGTGTCAACTGCTTGTTCGGTGCTGCCGGTTCAAGCTATACATGCCCACCTGACATGCTGAAAACAAGTGGAGAGCTATGGAGACCACTGGCGAGGAGGAACTCAGAAAATCCCGCTTCGAGGAGCTTCTTGGCGAACTGGCAAGGTGCTACGAAGTTGATGTCGCCCACGCCAGGCACTCTCAAACTCGTCGAGTGTCCATACAAGACGTAGCAGAAAATCTTGAGCGATCCCGTAGCTTACCTGGATCAATAGGCTCAGGAGAGAGGCTGCCCACAAGCGCCAAAAGCGAAGGAGGCCTGGTGTCTGTGTACGAAGCCAGGCCGGGGAGGCCACAACGAGGCGATTTCAAGTCCAGGAAGAGCACTGCAAAGATGAGTCTTGCTTCTCTTCAGGGTTGTCTCGAGGGTGGTTGTCTTACGGACTTCCAATTACATGTACATCCACAATTGATGCAAAAAGCTCCGGACTATCCGATGAGCCATACCCGCAGCAGTGCGGTATCTCCTCGACCTTCGCGGTTTGCTTCGAAGAGGTCATCCAAGATGGAGCCCAGTAGTTTCACAGCCCTGCATCCCGAGGCAGGGGTATTAAAACTATCCCTTAAGATCCGCTTCCTCCATGCAGCTGCATAATTCCAATTGTGCCTCTTCCCTGAGGGACGCTTCAAGATGTGCTGGAGCATTTTGCTGGGACTCTGTGTCCTCTACGACCTAATGCTTCTTCCCCTCTACGTGTTCTTTGTGCCTTCAGGAGTGCTGCTCTCCATGCTTGAGTGGTTCACGCACCTGGTGTGGAATGTCGACATTGCCGTGTCTGCACTCACAGGCTTCTACCTGAAAGGCTTGCTTGTGCTGGAGCCAAAACAAACCGTTCGCAAATACGTCAAGTCCTGGATGACGTTCGACGTATTCCTTGTGCTGCTAGTGTGGGTCAACTTTGTCGTCGCCGTGGCTACACCCTCCGAAGCTGAGCAAGAAGAGCTGATGGCCTGGGCACGCACCTTGCGAGCGCTTCGCTTTCTGAGATTTGTGCGAATCTTGCGCTGGCTAAAGCTTCGAAGGGTTGTGGAGACGCTTCATCAAGTAGTGGGCTCTCCCGCAACTTCTTTGTACTTCAGCCTCTTTAGTAACGTGGCGCGGCTTCTGATCCTGAATCATCTGGTGGCCTGCTGCTGGTTCGGTGTGACTCATCTCATGGAGGATCCAACCTGGGTTTCTCTGAATTCTGTTGGGCAAGAATCTGTCGTGAACCAGTACTTGAAGTGCCTGAATTGGTCGTTCGCACAGCTTGGTGTGGGCTCAACGAACATTTTCCCAGCAAACGTGTTGGAGGAGGCTTATTGCGTTCTCATTGCAATCAGATCTCTGCTGACCTATGCAACACTTGTTTCCTCCATGACAAACTTGATGACCGGGCTAAGCAAAATCCGAGAGGGTGAGGAAACAGACTTCCGGCTGCTCTATGCATATCTCAAGGTCAATGATATCCCAGAGGTCTTGCGCAGGAGGGTTGCTCGCTTCGTGGAGCACCAATATCGCCTAAAAGCAGACAAGAAAGTTGGCGATGTCGGAGACGTCCCCGTCCTCGGTCTATTGTCAGCGCAGCTACGAGGCGAGCTGATGTTAGCCAAGTATCGCAAGTCTTTCTGCAAGATTGCGTTGGTCCGGGACCTGTTTCAACTCGAGAATGAAAATGCTCAGGTTGTTCAGGTTCTGCATCATCTGGCCACAACAGCTGTGCGAGACACATCTGTAGCCGCAGGAGACATTGTCTTCTATGCAGGCAATGTTGGCAACGCTGCTTTTCAGAAGTTGTCTGGCGATCTCCGATACGTGCTGGAGGTGGACGATGAAGTGATTGCCAGCCCACTGTGGATTGCAGAAGTGTGTCTGTACACTGAATGGATTTACCAGGCATGGGATCATCAAACTTCTTCAGGATGAACACAGGATGAGGAGGGAGTGTTTCATAAGTCTTGAACTTGTAAACACTACAGGAAAGGCTTCTCCAGGCTTCCGCCTTCGCTGCAAATCCAATACGTGTTCCGGAAACCATAGTAGCAACAGCATCTATAGCATTTATACTAGGAAACGTGGCGTTGCTTAATTTCACTCCTTTTCTCTGCACATGTTAGCATGTGACGCCTTTAGCTTGTCCATGCAGACCCCGCGGATTCAAAGCAACCGGGTCTATGTCTTGAAGAAAAGGTTAATCCATGCATGAAGGCAACGTTTCCACAGGCAACGTAATCGTACTGTGAAACTACCATCATCCTGAAGCATCGACTTCTGATCTTCGCAAGGAACTTGCGATTTAAGATCTTTGCAACCAGTGATTTTTGAGCTTGGCGGTTGCCAAACTTGCTATTTGGAATTCTGAATCTCAGGTTTCCAGAGTCAGGGCCGCACTTGTAGGAAAAAAAAGACCTCAGCGCTCTGAATAATGTAATTCTTAGATGCTGAATAAACGTTGTTTTGATCTTGACAGTAACTCCATGTGAACCCTGTGAAAAAGTCGTCCTGGTCTTGAATAGTGACTTCAATGCTTCGCCCAATTTTTTCAGGGCGATCTCGTGGCTAAAGAAGTCTCGCGGCTGCTGGTCCTGGATGCAGCAGCATTCCGCCAAAGCATTTGCCAATGCCGGCTTACGCAGAAGGCGGCCTCGCAATATGCTCGGCAGTTTGTGAACCGAATGGCGCAAGTGGAGGTGATGACAGATTTGCTGCACAATCATAACCAGGATCCTGAGATGGAAGAAGAGACCGCAAAGGCTCCCCTCTCGTGCTGGTCTTTCCTTTCTTGGAGTAGTGTCCTGGCTGCACTCTTGCAATACTGTTGCATGTTTCCATTTATCCCATCTTGTTGCTCTGGCACGGCAAAACGCGAAACAGACTATAGCCGAACCGAGGAGCGCTTACGTTTCCATCCAGACCTAAAGTCAATCCGGAGAACAGCGAGCCGCGTTTTGATTCGCTGAAGGGCAATTGACTCACTTCGAATGAAGTTGTGAGTCGCTTAGCAACAAATCTTAAAGCTGGCGATGGTCAATACACGGTCAACGCAATCTTTGCCTTGCACGCCTAGCTCCATTTGAATGGCTAGTCTGGCTGCTCACGTCAAGCGTGTCTAGCCAAGCAGCGTGCCCTGGGGCTTCCCAGGCATTGCATTGCAGCATTCCCCCTGTCGATGGTCAGGGCTTGCTGTCAGGTGAAGGCAGGCTTGTCAGGCCCTGGCGTTTTAAAAGTTCTGCCGCAAGCCGTGGGTCAGCAGGAAGTTGCGTAACAATCAACATCCATTTTGTTTTGGAGACAAGCTAGGCCTGGGCATAGTGCCTTGATAAGGTCAGGCTTTTGTTTGAAAACGAGGGTAAGCCGGCTATTTGGGTAAATAACTCGGGCAAGGACATGTACCTATTGCTGGAGCAGGGGTTCTCCTTTAAGATCACGCAGTGCTGACGTGGTAGTGAGGTCAGTTGCTGCAGCTTGCTTTTACCATTTCTTAGTGGAAGTTTGCCATAAGCGAAAGTCAAATTGCTGAAGGTGGTTGATCACAATATCAGCTGGTGCTGGTGCTCGAATCCGTTGTGTCTGTTTAGCTCCCGGGAAGGACGACATCTGGCCGATCCGTGAGGTCCCAGCCTCTTCCGTGAGACGCCTGCCAGAGGAGTGGGTTCAGCTGCAGCTGCTGATTTTCAGTCTGGTTAGGTCATGAGTCAACAGCCAAAAATTTGGCGTCCCGTGCGTAGTGCTTGGAGCTGTCCTCAAAACCGGGAGTCACCTTAGGAGGGCACCAACGACGACTTCAACCCACAAGTGGACGAGGCAACTGTCAATGACGTACTGCGCAGCCTGGACCTTGAATGGGATGCCTGCCAATGACGATCTTTGCTGTGTGTATGCGCCACCTGCATCGATGTGTTGGGCTTTCATGTCAGAGCGTGCTGATGCTGACTTTACAGAGGTAGGCAGCTCCCCCCCTCAAGCTGGTTTCCCCAAATGTCATCAGAATGCATGAGATACCTCCTGCTGTTGTCAGAGCCGGCAGGCTGTGGAGGTCCTGCTGTCAGCGACAGAGTCGAACCCCAGTGGCTGGGCCTTAGGCAGGGCGGCTCCTTGTAGAATCTATGAGTAGAACTGGATTGCAGTGCATCTTATTGGTCTAGAGGCCAGCTCTGAAGGGCTTGCTTGCAGAAGTCTGGATTGCAAAGCAAGTTTGGTCGGCCTGAATTGGAGCTGTTGCGATCACCGCGCTCCTGATTCCCGTGGTAAAGGGGTCGCTCAAGGAAGACCAGCCGCAGCGCTCATCGAAGGATCTCGTAGAGAGTGGAAGAGACCAGCATCTAAGGATCTCACAGTTCTCTAAAAGATTCACCTGTTTGGTTGATAAAGCAATCCCATATGCGAGCGAGAAATTGTCAAAAATTTGTTTTAAATGGTCAGAGTTAATGAAATCCTGAAAGTAACGATGCCGTCCGTCCATTTTGGCATTTTCTTTCGTAAGAGCGTCAGTCCCCCTGTCCTCAACGCAACGTCTCTCCTTCAGATGTCCTCTTGCACGTTTCGAGTTTTTCAGTGGGGGCTTGCAGCTCACCTTCCGAATGCATTAACTTGCAATTCCGCTTTCTGCACTCTGGCTTGGAAGTCGGGGATCACAGAAATCCTCAGAACGCACGGAAGATGACGGACGCAGCTTATGGTCTCGGCACAGACAGTTTGATACTCACATCACATGAGCCCTACAAGTAGAGTTGAAAAGCGGTCACGCCCAACAAGGGAGCTGATACCGGAACAGGCGGGACAGCTGCTGTGTCCCTCAGTAGGCGGCTATGCAGGAAAAGTGAAGACGATCAAGAATTCCTTCTACTTCATCACCTTCGATCCAACGCAGAAGGGGAAGCAGGATTTGCTCATGCTTTTGCAGTGCACTTGATGCCAGTGCTATGGTAAACGTCAGCGCCAGACTGTCATTCCTGTTCCGGCATCACTATGGTAATTGATTTTCTCCGATTTTTTGCAGTTTGACAGGATCTGATCGTTGAGCGGAAAGCCCTGCGGCGCACTAGCTCCGAGCAGCAGTTGGACGTGTCCTCGATGATCCGAAAGTGCGCCAGGGATGAGACCAAAACAATGTTGCGACTGGTGCTCACATGATCTCCTTAAAGGGTGTCATATAGGGGAGTATGACAGGGTTTTTTAAAGGGGATACTAGGAGTGTAGACTGTAGCTTGCATGGCAAGATGCTGGATTTGCTCAGCGCGGGATGTCGCAGGCTGCTGCCAGTGGATGCCGACCTGCATGGGTGGATTCGGTCTCAGGCCTGAGCCTTTCAGAAAGGCACAGGCTGTTAAACAATGTGGTGATCTATCGATGCAGGACTCGTCTGGCTGCCTGAACCACGTGCAGAATAAATGCAATCTGCTGGTAGCAAACTGCTGGATCCCAAGTTGTCGGGTTGTTGTTGTGTTTCCTGGTGCAGCCTGCTGCGCGTGGGGTACAGTCCGTTCGCGCAAAACTGGTGTGGTTTGGTCTCACTGCAGTATGATACAGGCACCAACGTGGAACTTGGCAGCTCCAAGGATCCAGAGGCTTCGCGTGGAGGATGCAAGCCTTTGCATTGCCTGTGTTTCCACCTCTCTAGCTGCGTTGTTGTGTGGAGCTGGTCTGACTTCAGTGTGCCCAACAACATGCAGGTGCTGCTCATTGGGGGCGAGCGCGAGATCCGGCTTGGGGTGCTGCTTTTGGAGTTCGGGCCCTGGTGGCCATGACGGCATCGTTAGTACGACATCAGTACCAACAATATTCTAAACCCTTAAGACCACACACATGTACCATAGTACCATGAAGTAGAAGACTTGCCTCGGGATTAGCGATTTGATGAATCCAGAGTCAGGCGGGAGGCTAGGGATCCCATGAACTGTTTCGAATGCCCGTCTCTCTGCGAGGCAGATCCACTTCAAGTACCAGATCCAAATGCAGAGGCCGGGCATCCTTGGTGGCATTTTACCAAGAACAAGTGCTGCAATGATCCATAAACCTCGACTCGACTACAATGACGCCCATAGTCACCCATGGTATCTGAACCACGTACCTCTCACCCTGTTCTGGCCCTCTGAAGCGAGGGGCAAATTCAGAATCACAGGTTCCACGAGCATCGCGAGCAGCTCATGGAGCGGTTGACAGTGCTAGGGGCCCAGAGAAATTGGCGGCTCGGGCATTAGGTTTCCTACCCGTTCGGGTGTCACTGGCTGCGAAATGGGAGGGATCTTGCACACTTCACGCACTGTGGGTCATGGACTTTTGAGGCGTTGAAGATCAGTAGTCCTGATCCTCCCTGTTTTATCAGAACCTTAAGGAGGGTCAGGAACGCACGCAAGCAACAAATGTAGCATGAAGTCTCCATTTGTGTGCCTTGATGCATTCCATACATTTTCCGTTTGCTGTCAGGGCAAAGCAGTGGCATTCAGCGCAGCATCAAGAGGCCTGGGCAAGTTTCTATGTGCAGCAGCATAAGCTCATGAATTGTTGAACCACATGATGGGTCTGCTGGCAGGTTTTTGAAGTCGACCAAAACATGGTCGGCAGGATCATTGGAAAGAAGGCCCCGGTCTCTACGTACAAGCTTGCGCATCCCCTCTCAGCTTTGCATCCGGCCTCCACAAACAGGCTCCATTGGTAATTTTTCTCGCTTCACCTTGCAGTGACGCCCTGTCAGCATTCCTTACTCAGGGCGAGAATGTGCGGGACATTCGCGATCGACACAGCGTCGACGTGTGGATCGAGGATCCCCGTGGCCACAGTACCAGCTGCAGGCCACACGCCGGCAGTATGCTTGCAATTGTTATTACTATTACCGCTACTGTTACTATTTTTATGACTACGATTACGATTACTACTATTCTTACTATTCTTTCATTGCTTTTGCAGCGCCCGTGCATGCCAGGGTGACGGTCAGCGGGCAGACGCCCGAGGCTGTCAAGGCGGCGCGTGATGAGCTGGAGTTCATCACCGCCCCGCACTCAATTTTGGTGCTGCTACGGTCTCACAGAGCTGTAGTCTAAACTCCTTAAAGGGGTTATATATAGGCGATTATATAGGGGAGTATTATGGGAGTTATTAAGGGGGATAGGAGTTTAGACAATAGCTCATAGTCCATATGCAGAGATCATGGGTGGGCTTGCTGCGACTTCAAGGTATCCATTCCTGTGGATGGCGAGCATGTTGGATGGATCTTGGGCAAGGGCTACCAGACCATAACGGACCCATCTTGCTGGGTCGATCAATTTGGGACCTGAGTGGGGTGGAGTCTTAAAGTCATCGTGTCATCCCCCATCCCCTAGGAGTGTATGAGTCTGAGGCGCACCACATCCAAAGCATGAATCAACCTTGGCGATCACCCGATCTCAAACAGACCATCCTTTGCAGGACATTGCCGCAAAGACGAAGCTGCACCATGCCAGGCCGCAACACCCACTCTTCCCAAAAACATGAAGAGGCATCTAGCTAGAGCACCGAAACAAACACAGCTGATCTTTCCAGGCGAGCACTTCAACTAGACGTCCACTGAATTTGTTTAATTGCATTCCCGGAGTCGTGGTAGACCCCGAGATGGCAGGCGCTTTCTGCCAAAGCCATCAACTTCATAGGCGGTTCGTTTCATATTCCGTATTTGGCAGCATCAGCTTCAGGTGAGGAATCAGATGCGGGATTATGACTTTGATTTTCACGTTGATCATGCTGGTACTTGCTCAAGAACCTCTTGAGAGTGCCCAGATTTAGCTGGCCTCCTCGTGGTTTGATGCCCTGAACAGACCCTTCCCCTGTCCATTTTGTCGCACGCTTCCGTGGACACTTATCAAATCAGAGGAGAAACAGCAGTGGGTCCTTCAACCAAACTCATGTAGTGGCTCCAGAAAAGAGCTTATGACCATCATCTGAAGCTTGCCTCTTGCTCCAAACAGATACGACGACAAGTCCAAGACACTGGAGCTCTGCGGCTTGCGCAGCCAGGCACGGCCGGCTGTTTTCTTTTGACCATCAGCGTTGGCCTTCTTGTGATTCGTGCTATTCTGATTACTATGTTTGGCACTACGACTCTTACTGCTAGTATTCCTCCAACAACAGCTTTCAAGCCCCGGGACTTTCATCATTTTCAGGTGGAGGACGCCAAGCTGATGATTTCAGTTCACCGAGAATATCTTCCAGTGTACCGAGATATGGACGAGGCTTCACTCTGATCCATTTGAACTTCAGGGGTCCAGTCCACGCATGCCAGGAGCAAAATGCTATCCAGATGTCCTTCGACAAACTTGATGGTCGAGCAGCCAAGTTTGACGGAAGGAGATGGTTTTGGATCTTGGGATTTGGCGACAAGCAAGCCACGGTCCTCTCAGGTGTGGCAAGCACCAAGGGGAAGGGCAAGAAGGGAGAGAAAGGCCCATGGCAATCGTGTCAGTTGAGTGTGTGTGTGTGTGTGCATTTATGATGTCAAGGAATGTCAAGAAATGCCGCACCCTGTATGCACATCCCTGGCAAGGTAAGGAGGGCAAGGGTGAAGGAAAGGATGAGGAGCCTCAAGAATCTTCCGGAAAGACAAGGCCGTGTTAGTAAGCCTGAAGGAGCTGCTTCACTTGTGGTGTGTGGCTTGATTCAGGAAAGGCGACGAGATGCCCCGCAAAGGCTCGAAAGGGGAAGGTAAGGAAGGCAAGGAGGGTAAGGAGGGCAAGCAGGGTAAGCAAGGCAAAGAATGGAGCAGAAAGGAAGGCAAAGACTACTCAGACCACTGGCGAGGAGAAGGCAAGGAGGGCAAGGAGGGCAAGGAGGGCAAGGAGGGCAAGGAAGGAAAACAGTGGAGAGAAGGCAAAGAAGGCAAGGACGGCAAGGACTGGAAAGAAAACAAAGGTAAGGGAGGCAAGGAGGGAAAAGAGGGTAAAGATGGAAAAGGGCCCAGAGGCCAGCATCCAAATTCATGTGCCTGCATTGGATTCTGGCTTCGGTGATGCCAGCCATCAGCCTCAGGTGGCGACGATGTCTACGCGCTAAACTCAGCGAGCAGTGGCTATTGACATATCCTCCTCACGAGGGATCAAGATGCAGTAGCTGTAGACCTCAAGTGTGCATTTTCGTAAAGGGGAGTTTGTGATGCAGCCAGCTGTATTTGTTCAGGGTGCGCGCGCCAATCGTAAGGGTGAAGAGTGGGAGGCCGCGTCTGTCGGATGTTCACACATTGGAATGTTGCGTTAATCTCGCCTTTTTGTACCCGAGACAGGATTGGCATGGCAAGAAGGGCAAGGACGGAAAGGA